CTGAACACGGCATTGTTTTATAAGCAGAAATATTTTCGGATAGAGGTGAAGGCTGAGCGGCAGATGTACGTCGGGTCGACGATAAGCAATCGCGTACAACCGACAGCGTTTATTGAACAATTTTACAGACAACCCATCATTTCCGAGTTCCTGGCGTGGTTCCGTAGCTCAGCTGGTAGAGCGCTTGCTGCGTTGAAGCATGGCGTTTCCGTCGCTGGTTCGAATCTAGCCGCAACCCTGACTTTTCACAGTTGGGTCTCATCTTAAATCATAAATCTGCCAAACTACTTATAAGCAATACAATCCGCTATTAGTAAATAATGACACTGATTTTTGATCATTGTGGTTAACGAGTTTCGCCGCATTAGTCACTAAAAACGTACACACTATATGTCACGGTTAACCATACATGGCTGCTTCCGCTCACTCGTATCAGGTGGCAATACTGGGTAAGCAACGAAAAAGTTAAAAAGCTGGTGACTGACAGTGATTGTCAAACGTGTTTACTTGAATGTTGGTTAAGCCTGTTAAGGTTTAGATGGTTAGTTAGTAAAAATGCCAGCTAAGCGTGTGCCATGCAGACCAGTTTTTGCAGGTATCGTGGTCACTTGGCGTAAGGTGTGAAGCAGACAGATGATGACCTGGCGCAATAAAATGAAGTTTACCGAGAGGTCTTCTTCCTCCCTGCGGCTTGATCTTTCCTAATTCACAGAGTGAGTGGCTGAAGAATTCAGCTTAGATGGCGGCTAATTTGGCTTAGTGGTGTGAACGTTGTTGTTTAGCCACCTTGCCTGTGATGTGAGTGCATTTACTGATGCGAGTCAGTGAGAGCAGTAAGCGAAGTGCCCTGGTAATGAGGCCTTACTGTTACCCTGATTTCGTCCACTGTTTTCAAGGTGTATGCGTCTTACCGGTGAAGGGTTGAGTATAGTTATAATCATTTATCAACCAATTTGCACTGTCTTCTATTTATTTTTGACTACGCCTTGTCTTCTTTCCCATGGTAGGTAACAGATAGTATTAGCAAGAACTGTCGCTCTATTTTTGTCCACATTGTATCTTTTAAATGGAAGAGTCAAGTGATCTTCTATTCTAGACGGTATATCAGGAAGTTGATATTTGAAGTAGGGTCGGTACAGCATTCTGATGGTGTTGCCGTAATCATTAAAAATTCCCGGCTCTTCTTGCCTACAGAATAAGAGTACGTATAAGTATACACCAAAACTACTAAACATGGACGTCAAAACTCCAGTTAAACTCCCTACTATTTGGTTATTTTCTTCAAATTTTATGCGACTTATATAAGCCACCGGCAATCTGACTTGCACCTATTTTGAACTAATGAGATCTAGAGGGTACAGTAATAGGATAATTTCATCAAAACGTCTCAGGTGTTGAACACTAATGACTGTAACATTGTAAAGCAGAATAGCTTGTTGACATTGATAAAAAGGGATAAGCCACAACCTGAACCGCTTATGCTTTACTGTTGTTGTGTTTGTTGACAGATATGAAGCTGGGAACATTCATTTTCAGTCTAGAATACGAATAAAACAGAGGATAGTCTGATAATGCACGATTTATGTCCGGACAAATTTCGCTGTATCCTTACGAGTGCATACTACAGAACACTTATATCTCAGTATGATAAAGCGAACAAAATCCCAGAGCAAGTCAGTTTTCGGAGTGCACAATCAATAGTACTGCCATGGTAACGACAACCCTACAAACAGTTGTTTCTGAACATATAACAAAGATCCGAACATTCCGATAGCAACAGCTTCGGCAAAGCGCGGTGTTCACCCGCGTGACGTTGAGTAGACAACGTGAAATGCCGTTGTAAGATCGTATTGATGTTGCATCGTTATAATATGACGTGTAATGGATGACAAGCTCTTTGTTTCTTTGCTCGACTGTGACGTCATGCGTTTGTGTTATCTATTTATCGGCCCCATTCGGAATGTGCTCCATGACTCTGGTTTGTAATTGGCGCTCAGTCCCTGTGTAGGATGCTCCGCATCGATATCGACAATCATGGATGATGTTGGATTTGGCTGACTC